TGCATGTATAATTCTGCTTTGCTCACATAAATTATGCTGCAAAGAGAATCCTTTCAAGTCTTGTAAACAGAGCTAGTAGAGCAGACCTGCTTGTCAACCATGTTCAACATTTTCATTCTCTGTCACAGCCTGATCTAAGTATCCAACTTCATAATTAGGTTTTGGATAACTTCCAGGATCAGTGCTTGATGTCCAATTATATCTGCAGTAAAATGGCACTTAGAAGTAACTAGCACTTCCAGATAAGAACTTCCCATGATCTGCGAGAAAAATTCAAAATCAAGATGTTATAAAATATTTCAGCATCAATAAGGCAGAGGAACCCAGGGAACATGTTGATGAAGTGTCTCCCTGACTTTCTGTCCTCAGATCATTGTGTTAGGCTTTCTTTTGGCTTGGCAGAACTGGACTGTACTGTTGCCACATTTTCCTGTCTTTAGCTGTGCAAAATGCCCAAGAGTTTGAGTGCTGTAAGGACTTCAGCATAGTCAGGTGCTTCTGACATGACCTGTGGTTTCTCAAGAGCATGTACATATGGGTCAAATTCTGATACTCCATATGGCTGCCAGTTGAGACCAGTGCTGTGCAATTCACTGGAGCAAGTTTAGATTTATACCCTGGGAACTGAGAGTTCATCTTGAGTCATCAGTTGGAATTAGGTTTTCTAGAACTGTCTGTACCTGAACCCAGATGCCAAACTTTATGTCCCTGCAGAGGCCCCTGGCCTGCGGGCATGTCATTCCCTACACTGCCTTAAGCCTTGACACTTTGATGACAGTGGCGGTCCCAGCTAGAGCTCCGTCTCCATCATATTTGGATTTTGAATGTTCTGAGTTGCATTTTAACCTGCACAGCCGACAAGCACTCTAAAATTTAGGTTGTCTGAACCAAACAGTCTATCTGCAAATCAGGAAGGGATTGGAAAGTCCGCTGTTGTTGCAGCTAGTAGCAAAACTGTCTTGATTTCTGCTGGCTGAAAATTAGGTGACTGCTAATCTCTGCTGAAAATGATACACATGTATTGCATTTCTACCAGCACACACTGGGTTTCTCTTGTGTTGTATTTCATAGTGGTGAGCATTCTTAATGTGTTTGGTAAATAGTCTTTACTTTGAGTTGATCAGCTTTGGAATACAGGTAGTTTAGTGGCCCTACCTTTCTGAATTGGTAGATGTACTGAACGCTGAATTTTCCTGGATCAATGCTACTGCAAACTCTGAAAGGACTAACAAGAAGTAGGTCCTTACCAGGCATAGGACAGCACTACACTGGTTGTCTTTTACTGTCTGAAGGATCTAGTGCTGCTTGTGGAAGTGTGGAGTTTACATGTATTCTGCTGCTACATGTGTCCCAGAGGACTGAGATGATAGTATAATGTGGGGAACAAAGAGATGTTACAAGTTACCAGTGTGTAGCAGGAAACGCACATTTCTTGCAGGTTATGGCGATGTGCCTCTGCTGGAAAAGCAAACCTTTTTGCATTTGTGTAAACTGAAAAATTGTTTGTTGGGATTGTCCACGTGCCAGACTGCCATCCTTTCCTGCAAGTACCTCGGGTCTCGCAAAATCACACTGTGTAATTTGTCAGGCATGAATCAACATCTTTTAACTGGCTAAACTGAGGAGCAAGGTGCAAGGAGAATGACCCTCCTTAATAAGGGCAGATGGGTTGAAGTAGTGGGTCACTTTTTATCCCTGGCCTGCAAAACTGGCTTGACAGCAAACAGCAGGCTTACAGATCTTTTTCTTCTATTCCTGAAGGGAGTCATCTTCCTCTTCACATTGCAATTTCTGTTGTGTTTATTGCTCTAAGTCCTACAGGCACTGGTTAAGAAAGCTGAATGCCCACTAAGTTGCCTGCAGTCTAGCAGACAAAGGGTAGTCAGACTTAGTGTCACATGTGACATGTATTACATCCATTACACAAAGCTCCCCATCTCTTGCACGTGTGGTTAAGGAGAAACTGGACATCCAACAGAACTATGACAACAGCATGCCAAGAGCAGGTCACTCCTGTTTAGGTATCCTTGGACCAGTTTCCTACCAGGCTGGTATTGGAAGTAGGAGATCTACAGGGGTTCACCATCATCTGAATCCAGCAGTTTGGGTTCATATCTCTGTTCATAACGTCCAGGGTTCATAGCATCCTGTTGCTAACACACATAAACACAAAATGTAGCTTTCTGGCAAAGAACTTTGTGGGAAGGGAGACCAAAGAACCTTCCTGCCCCTCCTGATGGTCCACTGGGCTGGAGTGGAGACCTTGGTGGTGTCAGCCTGACTGGTTTCTCCAGGTCAGACCTGAAGACGAGGGATTTGGCTTAGTTGCCTTGCCAGGGTGATTTGGGCACTCCCTGGGTGATTTGGGCCAGGAAGGTCGCATGAGGTACTTGGCAGAAGCTGGGAAGTGCATATGGGGAAAGATGCTTTGTTTCTGCCATCAATTGCCTGCTCTGGCAAATGCAGCAGCAGGTAGGGCCCTGGTGGGGGGTTAAAGAAGGGCTGTGGCTGTAACCCCTCACTGGGCTTTGTCTGCCATGCAGATTAGGTGAAGGGCTTTTCTGGCTCTGTTGCTAGGCTCTTCCCCCCTATTGACTTGGTAGAGAGGCTGAGGGGGGGGAGCAGGAGGGAAAGACTGCATTATATTGTTTCTTTGAGTTTCCCCCCCCCTCTATGGGGAGATGGGCTTGATCCACTGGTTTTGGATTTTAGAGGCAGAAGGCAAGACATGACCAGCTGGTGTCTTGAAATGGCACAGGTGCAATGGCTGCGGGAGGGGGGAGCCAGGAATAATTACAGGTTTCTGAAGCATCAGGCTTTGCTGAAAAGGGCTCATCGACAAACTGCTCTTTATGGAAAATTAATGGTGAAGCTGGAAGAAACTGTCAGGCCCACTATTGTTGTCATGCGGTAGTGATGCCTTAAAGGAGCAGTACCTCCTGCTTGCCTCCCCTCCATGGGCAGCCTGCAGCCAGCGCACAGTTTTCTGATCCCACAGCAATTGAAATTTCATGTCACTGTCATCAGATTTAATAGCCTTGAGTCCCTGTCTTCCCCCCTCCCCTTTTCCACCCCCAGTTTGTGATTATGCTTGCTCTTTCCTTTGGAAGCCTTTTATTTATTAGGCCCCTGAACCTGTTTCTGCCTCACTGGGTGAAGGCTAAGTGGGCCAAGCAGCCCAAATTACATGTTTGGGCAATTCAAAAGCATTGCCTTTCCTGGTGGTGGGGGTTGTTCCTGAAAGACTGTGGGACTCATTGGAAAGCTGCTCCCAAAACCTGTTAGGATTCATCTGGGGAGAGATCAGATCCTCAGCTAAAGTCATTCCTCATGATCCCAGAAATGTACTTTAAAAAGAAAATGGAAAGGTTGCTTAAGGCATGTACAAACTGGTAAGTGTCCCACCTCCGGGCCTGTGTGCAGACACATTGTACACACAGTGTCATGCCTCTGAAAATAACCTACGCGCTAAAGTATAGCGCATCTCACTTGGATATGTTGCTGTTCTATTTCTTTTTGTCCAAGTCCATCTCTACAGCTCAGGTCTACAATCAGCTGCTATTTTAACAAGAAACAACAGATAACTGGCAAATTCTGTTGTGAACTCTGAAAGTCATCCCACCACATAATATCTGCAACCAGCAGTGCTGCTTCCTGAGTACACTGAAAGTAATAATCTTAAATTATCTGACAGCTCATAGCTGTGAGTGGGGTCTTTTTACACTGGTGTTGATGGGACCTTTGTACCCAGGAGGCAGGAGTCTCTGTCTCCTTCAGCCATATAAAGCTTTTGTCTCTTGATCAGATGCTGGACTCTCAAGGTGGGAAGTAGTTGGGTCGCCAGCCCCCATAGGCTGAAATTTTTTGCCTAAAATCACTTTCTTTATATTTCTAGAAGTGTTCTCTGAGGAGTAGTTCTTAGAAGTTTCTAAAAAGTATTGGCTAGAATGTCTCTTTCTTCAAGTCCTCTGAAATCACAGTGGTGATATTAAACCAGCTGGCCTTTCAGGAAGCAAGAAATGAAAGATAGCACTAATAAACTCCATTAAAAGCTCCTGAAACTACAGCAAACGGTTTTCTATAAACAGTAAAAGTTTATAATGTTAGTTATGGAGAACACTGGGGAGTGTGATAGTGCCTGGAGACTTTACTGGGGCTAGCTAGGGGCACCTCATAATAAGGTACATTCAAGTTAGGCTTACCCCATCCTTGTGCTGGTAGTCACTGCAGTGGAAATGCAGGACCATGTGGCAGCCTCCTTGACTGCAACTTCACCTACTTTTTAATAAGATGCATGTGTGTGTTTGTATGCAAGTCTGGTGTCCTGTACGCAGTGAGCCCCATTTAACCAGGTGTACCAAAAACCCTCTAAGACTGACAGTAGGTCCCTTTTTGGTGTCAGATCTTTCCTTGTCTCAGGCCCTTTAAAACAAGCTGTGGTGTCACTGGAAGTTTTTCTCTGTCTCCCATCTTAAAATGCTACACTTCACGCTTCAGGATTTTGATAGTTTAGGAACAGACTGGGCCCCTGCCAACTGTGCTGAGTTAAATTTGGAGTGAAAGTTAATGTTTGTGAAGGAAGAGGAAGCAGTTCTTTGGAGAGGTGACTTTGTTTGTATGTGGCCAGGTGATGCAGCCTTTAGGATAGTTTCATATGGAAGTGACTGTTGGCCAGATTACACTTAAAACTTGGAAGGGCCTGATATCCATGGGACAATGTACAGACTTTTCACTACAGAAAATGTAGTGGATGCTTTCTGGTTGTTGTATCTTCACTCCTACTATAACATCTGCTATTGTACGTGGATATTCTCATAGTCTATTTTGCATCAAACAAGTGCCAAATCCTTATGTCTCCCTCACGAGAAGGTGCTGGTGTGCATGAGTGCTCTCTCTGAATGACTCTGGACCACATTGTTCTTTGGCCCTAGGTGGGAGCTGTGCTGTAACCTCTCTCTAACGTGGTTTCTATCCCTTCCCTCTCCCTTCCCCTCCTGCAGACGTGCCTGGAGTTGGAGCGATACCTTCAGACTGAACCACGGAAGATCTCTGAGACCTTTGGTGAGGATTTGGACTGTTTCCTTCATGCCGCCTCAGCCCCAGATGCAGAGGACAATATCCGACGGCTGGACCCCATCCTTTTACCTGTGGAGACGAGTACATGTGACAAAAGCACTAACGTGGACATTATCCTCTCACGGGACAAGCTGCTCTCTGAGACGTGCCTCAGTTTGCAATCCACCAGCTCTTCCACAGAAGGCTACACAGCCGTCAACCAGGCCCAGCTCAATGCAGTAACCTCATTAACACCCCCTTCCTCCCCAGAGCTCAGCCGCCACCTTGTAAAAACCTCACAGACTCTCTCAGCGGTGGATGGCACAGTGACGTTGAAACTGGTGGCCAAGAAAACTTCACTCAGCTCTGTGAAAGTGGGTGTAGTGACAGCGACCGCAGGGGCAATAAAAACTGGGCAAAGTGACAGTGAGCACGTTGGTACAGGGGCAGAAGCATCCCCAGAAAACAAGAAGAGGGTTCATCGCTGTCAGTTTAATGGGTGCCGGAAGGTTTATACAAAGAGCTCCCACTTAAAGGCTCACCAGAGGACTCATACAGGTACTTATGTAGGATTCTTCTCTCATCTTGTCCTACTGCCACCTAACTGTAACCATGTCCTTTCATTCTCATTTAGAAAGGAAGAAAAAAAGAATCTCTTCTGAAAGTCCAGGCTTTTATCTATGAAACAGGGCAGTGGGATAATATGGTAGGCCAGCAAACGTACCTGTTACTCAGAAGGACTGAGGAGTTCAATGTCTACCATTAACCTCTTGTGATTTCATTGTCTTGTGGGGCTTGATGCAGAGTCATTTTAGGATAGCTAAGGGATGTAGATGTTCATGTTAAAACTGTGGGCTTGCCAGTTTGGGTTTTTGGCACTCATTTCCCTAAGACAACTTCAAAAATGTTAATTTTAGTCAAGTGTTAATTGCTTCAACTGGAGAATAGTGTGGGCAGGTTTTGTTGCCTTTTTTTGTGGGGGAGAGAGAAAAACGTACTTAAGATCTGAGATACGCAGTTTAGGATTAATGTGTGCATGAGAGAGTATGTGCATAGATGCAGACGTGTAGGTGTGGAGATGCACATACCCTTGAAATACTCATGATCTTGGGCTTCTCTGGTGGTAAGATACAGTGAGAAGAGGTGAAAGAATGACATGGACTTTGAATGGAATAATGTAGGTGGGGAGGGAATAGAATGTATGAAAAGATGTCAGGCTGCTATTTTGGATAATATTTACTAATGTTGCATATAAGCTCCACTGTGTAAGCTTCTTGAAGCACGCTGAATTGGCTTAGGTTTGCCTGTTCAGGATCCCCACTCTTCTGTCATTTCTTCATAGTCTCCAGTAGCTTTTCGGCTCCTATTCATTGGCAGTAATAGCTGTGCAGTTCGTGTGTGTTGCGGCTTTGTTCTAAGCTTCACATGTGATGAGAGATGATAAATTCCCATTAGCACTGTCTTATCTTGTGATTATTCTTGTTTCCAGAGGGGTTGCTGTAATCAGTTTTCCCAATTTTACTGTAAAATGTGTGGTCTCTTACGATAACTGCACATTTAATTCACAGCCTTATCATTCAGGCAGACTCCTAGAAGCAAGGTTGTTCTTGCAAGGTAGAAAATAACATGTTGGACCAGTGCAGTAAATCAAACAAATATGTGGGTTGTTAAGAGAGCTGCATCCATCAAATACTAGGCAGTCCTGTAAAAGTTACAGAGTCTGAAGTGTAAATCATATTAAGACATAAAAAGCATTGGTTTTGATCTTTTTATATGGGCTTTCTAGTGCTTTTACTGGGGATAGCCACCTTGCCAGGAGTGACCTCACTTGTGATTCAGTGATTTGAAAGCCAGTGAAAGTAGTGCAGACATTTTAAAATCTGCAGCAGCATGGTTAGGGGGCTCCTCATAGCACCAGTGCTGCTGTGAGGTTGGTCCCTACCAATGCTGTCAGGGGGGATGTCCCAGCAAAGGCCTTCCAGCAGGCAGCAAGGCTCCCATGAAGGCACAAATTTATAGAGTGTGAGATAGATCTGTTCGGATAAGGGCTCGAGCTGTGAGTGCTGGGTCTTACACAGCTGTTCCTGAAGTTTGTCAGAAATGTGACATGCTCACCTGGGAAGGGTGAACTTGTGGAGTTTTTCTGGCTTTGTCACCAGTAGGTGTGGATGGGGACAAGGAGCCCTGAGAGAGCACTTGGGAAAACCACTACTCTTTCAACACTGCCATCCTTTGGAGTCAAAATTTTGCAAATTTTTCCATGCTTTTGAGCTCAGCTTTAGGTCTGGTTTAATTTTTTGTGAAATCTTATGTTTTATAGTTAATCCATGATGAGAAACATTTCTCACTGGCCCTGTGATACTTCTTTTGAATAGCCTTAGACTGTATATTGTGCCATTGACATGTATGTGTCTGCCCATCCACAGCAGTGCTCAATGTGGTGAGAAAGGCAAATCCACTTTTGCTCTCAGGTGGGGAGACTGTAGTTGCCCACACCTTCCACTTCCAGAACCACAGCTAGTGGGGTCAGCTACCTGTCTGATCTTGCCAGTTAAACCATGTAGACAAAGCATGGTTTCATTAGGTTTCATGGTTAAAGCATGTGTAGACAGCATGGTTTCATTTTGTGATGAGGACTGGATGCAGCCTTGTTTTTAAAATCCATCTCTGATGCAGAACCTGGGAGCAGGTAGGCACCTGGCTCCCATGTATCTCTGTGGAGCAAAACATCTAAGTACCTTTGAACATTTACATCTTGGGAGCAATCTAGGTGAATCAAGGGGAAGGGTGGGATAGGTTGGACTAACTGGCTTATTTGAGTCCAGAGCACAAAGTTATTCTGACTCCTTCATCCTGCTTAAGTGCTCTGTTCCCTTAAAAAAAAACCTGACTGTTGGATGCCTTAAATCAGAGCTGGTGCAATCACGACGTTAAATCTGTTCATGTTGACCTCTGCAGTGGGGTCCCCCCGCAGGGACCTCCTGCCTCTGGTAAAAGAGAGGGATAGAGAGGAATAGCTAAGGAAATTCAGGACTGAATTATAAATGACAGGTCTGCCTCCTTTCCCATGCACTCCTTCAGGGCTAGGGACAAGAAGCCCTTTTCTCTGTTGGTGCTTTGTTTTTTTCCTGGCTGAGCTGAGTGTGCTATGGGTTGCAAATGCACCCAGCAGTGCCAATGGCTAGTAGCCACTTGGCTTAGTCAGTGGCTGAGCCAGAGGGTCTGAAATGATTGCGAGATATTTTCCTTTGGCTGGTAGTTTGTTAGTATGTCATGCAAGAGCAGTCTGCCAGTGTGGGCTCTGTGTAAAAGGGTGTGAGTGCCCTGACAGACAAAGAGCTCTCAGTGTGGAGTTCGCAGGCAGGGAGGCAGATACGGGCTGGTCACCCAACTTGCACGTGCAAAGACCACTTGCTGGATCAAAGAGATTTACTGCAGTGCATGAAAACAAGAAAACCATGGGCTGGGTAGCTGGGGGACAGAAGGTGGCGGAAGGAGGTTGCATTCCTTCCTCTTGTATGTAAGGCTGACCAGACAGATGCTGGCTGGTGTTCCTCACTGCTGCGTGATGAGCCAGGCTGGGCTGGAGGCAGTACAGACTGATAGCAGCTTGCTAGATCAGAGACAATCTCTTAGGGCTTTACTTCACTGGGAGCCCAGAGGCAGTCAGACCTCACATTGCACTTGGTGCATCCCTCACATTCCTCTTCCACATCTCATCTGTAGGAGAATCAAGATAGCACTGTAAGGCCCATGGATGGTTGAACTGGTTATGAAACCACCTTCTGGATGACCTTTGGAGAGGGAAAAACAACCATCTGTGTGCAAGAGAATTTAATCTGGAAGGGAAAGGGAAAAACATTGTCTGGATGGAAAGGGAAATGAAAATATTTGACTGAATTCAAAGTAAGCTGGGGAATCTAAAGCGAAGAACATGTGAAGGAGCTCAGAGCAGTGGCGGGACGGACTGTCAGCCACAAAGGAGCCCCTCAGGGGAGGAACGGTGACTGGGACTGTAAGCAGGAGGAAAAGGTGAGCTGTAGATTTGGAAAGACCATACTGAGATTGTGAGGGTGAGGTAAAAACATCTGAAGAAGGAGCAACCAGGACTGGCATGGTAATCCAACCCTAGCACATTCTCTAACAGTTATTTGTGGAGCAGACATCAGTGCAAACAATGACATTTGTCTCTTTTGAGAGACAAATTTTGGTCCAGCCTTCACACATGCATGGAGACGAATTGCTAATGTAATGGGGAGTGGAGAGGAAAGGAATTCGAATGAGCCCAAACCCATGTACAGTCATCAGCACTTCCTAAATTAGAAAACAGGATATTGCTGGCCAGTGTCTGGACTAAGGGGGATGTGGCCTCTGACCTGTGGGAAGATTAGTCATGAGATGTGGCTGTGCTCCCAGATCAAAGACCTCTGGAGGAGATTTTGATCTCCTGACAGAACTGTATCAGCCTTCCTTGCAGTAATGTACAGAAGGTATGACATGGTGTGGTGGTTTCAGGCCAGAGATAAAGCATCAGGTATAAACTGACCAGGAAATCCTTAAGATTCAGGATAGTGATGAAAAATGACCTTTAGGGGTTCTTCAGGGTTTTGCATTTTATGTGTATCAGAAGGTTTTGGTTTTTTTTTTTTTATCCATCTAAAACCAGGTTCTGTTACAACCTAAGCCCAAGTCTGAGAAGCAGAAGTTGGGCACCTCACATCTATATTTAGGTTCCTAAAGCCTAAACAATTGGGAAATACCCATGTAAATAGATGCTATGAGCCTACATGCAATCTTAAGATAGCATTTATCTAAGTGGAGTTTGTTTCACATTGTCAGGACATCTTATTTTAAATTATATAGTTCTTAGATCTAAAGTGCTGGGTGAGAGTAACTAAAACAAACAAATCCACCCTGCAGGAAAACAAATTACTACATTTGCAAGAACAAGAGAAGAGACACAAGAGATTAGAAAGAGCATTAATGAACAGGAAGGTTTTTGAGATGGGATTTGAAACAGCAGAGAAGAGCTTTCCCAAAGTGCTGGAGAAAGAAAAGGATACATCCAGAATTTGGAAATGATTGGAAAAGACCAAATTGAGAGTAGACTGGGTGATAGATACAGAGGATTAATACAAAGTAAAGGAGTAATAGAGAAAATAAAGATTATCTGTGTCAGTGATACCACATGAATGAGAAGCTGCATTGCTGTAGCACTCGTGAACAGAAAGCTAATGAAGAGAAAGAAGAAGCAAATAGCCAAGCACAGCACCAATTCTGCAGGATGCAAGGTTCCGAATAATGACTTAAAGAAAAGCATTTGGGAGAACAGTATAGCACAGGAGAAATGAAAGCCATTTATGTGATGTACAGAGACTCACCACTTTGTATTGAGTCGCCAGCTCTGTGTGCAGCACTGCAACTCAGCAAGGGGACATGGGGGGGCATGCAGGGACACAGAGGATGCTAAAGGTCCCATGGCAACAGCTGAAGCAATAGATGAATGTGCTATTTGAAAGAAGAGCCAAGGAAGTGAGGGAGGAGGGGGCTGTGAAGAA